TAAAAAAAAAAAAAAAAAGATAACAAGTCACACCCAGCCCACTTTCTGGGGGTGAGCTCTCTGACAGTAGCGTGCAGGGGTGAGCACAGGTGGGCACCAGCACGGCCGCCTCCTCACCTGTCTGGGTAAGATAGACAGATGGGGTCCTGCGGGGTACCTGCCCACAGAAGCCCCAGCACAGAAGCCCCACTCCCGGCGTGATGGCCCACAGGCTTCCCTCCTCGTTTAGGAGGAGCCTGGCTAGTGTACATTGAGAGGGTAAGAGCCGGCCAGCATGGGCTGGGGGAGCAGCGTGCAAGGATGGGGGCTGGAAGCCACCCATGCCCTTGTTCCCTGACACCAGGCTTGTCCACTCTGAGCATGCTCTAGAACGGTGGTGGAGAGCGCAGGCCTCAGAGGAGCTGGTTCTGGCCAGGCTTCTGCCCTGAGTGGCCACCAGCAAGTCCTCCCCGTCCTGTAACTTGAGGGGTGGGCTAGGTCTGAGGTTGCTGCCCATCCTGGGGGGTTGCCCATCCTGGGGGTTGCTGCCCATCCTCTGACCCAGCCCTCCCTGGGCTCCACAGCCAGGCATTCACCTGAGACCATGCCCACCAGGCAGACCCTGGGAAGAGCCCCCCAGCCACCTGCTCAAGGGCAGATCATTCAGGGAGGGGCTTCCAGACAGAGGGAACAGCGTGTGGTGGAGGGTAGGGACAGTGAGAGCAGAGGGGATGCTGGGCAGCTGGGGGAGGCGAGCGGGTTCCACTTTCAAGAAGGCCACAGTGAGACGTGTGGAGTTGTCCTGAAGGCAGTGAGAGCGCCCGAGGGTTTTCGTCTTGGAACGGCTCTTGTGAAGGCCCACAGGCAGGGGGTGGTCCCACGAGGGGCCAAGAGGGAGGGTGGGTGGATGGAGCTCAGGTGAGCAGGGCATGTCCGGAGTGGTCGTCGGTGCCTTCACTGGACTGAACGGGGTGGGGGTGAGGCTATCAGGTGGGCTCTGGTTCTGCCAGGGCCATGGTAGGGCCCTGCCCCAGCACTGCCCCTTGATTCCAGGTGACAACCACAACATTGACAGCGTCATCTACAAGTGGAACCCGCAGACCCGCCTCTTCGAGGCCAACCAGACCATCGCCACCTCTGGCGCCTAT